GAATGTATAAGTCTAGACGGCAACACTAATACAAATTAGCGTCAAAAATTTTTAACACTGCCTCAAGGCAATAGCTTGATACAGTTTTGTTATTTCAAATGAATATTTAGAACGTACTTGGAAAATTATAATGGTATTTATTTTTTACAAACCCTGATACCTCTATTACGAGTACATGTTGGACAGCGTCTTCTTATTTCAGTGTTTGTTATTCTAGTTGTCACATTATTTTGTATGTGCAGGGCAGCGTAGGTTATTCTTTGTTTGAGCTTTTCCTGGGTATTCACTGGAGTTTCAACTAGCGCGAACTAGTGCTTCCATATATGACCTCACACCTAATGATAAATGGGGGTTAGGTCAGGGATTCGCGCTGGCCAACCTATTGGACTTGACGTTCCAATCCAACGATTCAAAAAACGTTCATCCATGAACTGTCTAACGTCGACCAGCCGGTATAATGCGCTGGACAACCGTGTTGTTGGAATATCATTCGTCCTCTCATGCCGAAAGAAACATCATCAGAAAGCCCCTGTAGATCATGCCGTAGAAAATGTTCATGCATTTCCCTATTTAAATGGTCTAGAAGAAAATGTGTTCCTATTAAATAACTGTCAATGAAACCCATTTACACATCAACAGAAAATATCCGTTCAAAGCTAGTTTTCCTTTAACGAGGTTTTCCTTCAGCACAATAATTGAGGTTATGGAAATTTGTTCTGATGCTATTTGGATGCCTCGAGCAAATAAAGGAAAATAGAAACTGCTGTATCGCCAGAAATGAATACTGATATGCATTTTTCAAGTAAGTTTTTAATTATTCGTTAAAAATAACCAATCTGTGTCAAGCACTTTTAGTTTCAATTGTACCCAGTAAGATAGCTATTGCCTTAAGGAAGTTTCAAACAATTCTTGACAAATGTGGCTAAGAGGTTTTTCTGAAAATAACCGCTAAAATGTGTTAAAATTCACAATTCACAAACAAAAAACTACTTTGTATTTATTATTCGAAATAACCCTATCAAATCCGGTATCGTTGAATTCGTCATGATAATCCCTAACCGATTATGGAATATAGTGTCCCATTTAAAAACAAAACAAAAGTTGGAGTAGTTTCCGGTGGAACTGAAAGTACCCACCAATTTTCAAAACCCTTTCTAGAATAACTCAAAAGTTACAATCGTGGCCGTGTTTTGTGCACTTCTCTGTATATATACCAATTTCGGCTACAATCAATGATTTTCGTGAATCAGCTTGTACACAACAATTGAAATATAACAAGAAATTAATGAAAATTTGATCACAACGAACATTCAACGATTCCCAATTCTCCGTATCTCCAGCCCATCTACATTTATCGATATCCTAATCATAATCACCTGGAGCATTAAAAAATGTTTATTTGCTCTCCTGAATATATCTGGAAACGAGATATAGCTGGTTAGGTGCCAAACATATCAATCTCAATTAAGTCAATAATTGAGTGATCTGTTATTAACTTTGGGGCTTCTGTCTGATTGTTTACTGCCCACGGCGTTCTCCCAGTGCTTTGATGAGCTTCTCTCTTCACAGTCGAACGCTTAATTAGCACTTGAATGTAAACAACATGAAACCCTTCATCAAATTAACCTCTAAACTCCTCTCGTTAGAAAAGCAACTGTGTAAGACTGAAGTAGGTATATGAAAGATATAACTGAGTTTAACGTTATAGTGTCTTCAAGTCAACATCATCATCATACATTTTTTTTATCGCTTGGAGCGCACGAAAGGGAATCCCTATAATGTTCAAAGAACATCGTGCGTTCCTAGGGAGGATAGGGACAGGAGGTAGGTATTGGAATTTTTTTCAACTTTTGTAGATTATATGTTGTTGGGAATACTTCCACAGGCAATGAATTCCAGAGCCTAGCCGTTCTATGGATGAAGGAGTCTTGATAAAGTGCTGTTCGACATCTTTCGAGGTTGACAACGAAAGGATGTGCTGACTGGGCTTGTCTAGTTCGTCTGATTGGTATTGCTAGTGAAGGGATGATAGCAGAGATTTCCGAAGAACATTTCCCGTGGAAGTATCGATAGAAAAGTAAAAGCTCGCCGACCTTTCAACGGTGTTCCAATGATGTCAAAGACTGAGTGAGTGTGGCGTCACCCACCAGGCGAATGGCTCTTCTCTGGATCGAATCTAAGAGCATCAGCGTATGTTTTGGTGCTGAACCCCATATGTGGGAACAGTATTCTAGAACAGGCCGTATCTGCGCTTTGTAGATCATGAGAAGCTGTTGAGGTGTGAAGTAGCTTTTCGCACGGAACAAGAATCCGAGTTTTTGTGAAGCGCAGCTTATGCGATGGATCTGACATGATTATCCCATGAAAGAGTGTTGCTGATGGTCATTAATTGGAATTCCAGATTTTTTGATGAATACTTAGTTCAGATTGTTCTGAACTTCTGAACAAGAACTGAATGAAAACAAATTTGCTACACCGTTGAAGATAAGTTCGTGTTGACTTATCAAGCAGTAATAAGTTTCATAAAAATGTTGATAAATTCATCAGCATGTTCTGAACAATGGAGGCATTAGCTGGAAGTGACAACGCATTTCCAACGTATGGCCATTGCCCAATAGTTAGAGACGAAGAGCAATTTTTATAGGAAACATAAAATAAATTGCCCCACATTTGAAGTGAGACAAGCAAAAATTTCTATAATTCTCAAACCGTCATAACTTTGGATTCAATTTCTTTCAAGATTCTGATAGCTCATTCTATTATAAGTAAAACGTCAATACCCAATGGAATGAGCTATCAGAATGTTGAAAGGAATGGGCGTGTACACCTTAGTAGAAATTTCAACTCAAACCATGTTTATAATGATCCTTTTATACATAAATAATGATTGACGACATAATTCGATCGAAAAATTAACTGGAATGTTTTATTTTTGGACATAAATAATAGTACCTTCTGAAAACGCACCATCTTATGACGTAGAAACCTCATCTCGCCATAGTTACAAGAAAATACCAAAAACTCCCGATGGAGACTGAGGCAACGATATATTAATTCTTTCAACTGTCATCTCGCGCTAATTCAATCTGTCAGAAATCATGTATCATTCATCTCTGTCTGGAATAGTCTAGTTTCAGTAATAGGGTTTTGACGTCACATCATCGACTCGTTTTCAGAGGTCCGAAAAATCGGGGATTTCAATAATTTTTTATAAAACGTAGGGAGCTCACAGCAAGAAACGGTTTGCGGTGGTGAGCTAGTTCGAGTGAGTTCTATCGAATTATGAAATAAATTTTTTTTGTGATATAAGCCCATTGAAAATTGGTTGATCCACTTCAAAGTTATGACGGTTCGAAAATGATAGAAGTTTTTGCTTGTCTCACTTCAAATGAGGAGCAGTTTAGTTATAGTATACATAATGAACGATTCAATTTATTCAATTAGGACACAATGAAAGGATAGCACTCCTGTGAGAATAATTACCAGTTCACATTTTGTTCAAGATTTCATAATAAAGTTGATATTAAAATGTGAATGTGAAACTATTTTTTTTCACCTGATGTTTATAAGGAAGTTTCAATTTACAAACGGATAAATGAATAAAAGGAAACAAACTTTAATTATACACTCACCGGCAAAAAAAACCAGACATCAAATAATTTAGCCAAATTGTTTGCGCCCTGTGGAAAAGGTGAGTGGTTTACCTTAGCTTCATTATGTTTTATATTGAAGAGTTATCTCTTCCCTACATGATGCGGTTTTTTTATTCACGTCGATAACCACTTTTCAAAGGAAGATACAAGTGTTTCAAGAGAGTATGAATTTTTCAAAATTTCATTTACGATAATTCAGAACCATTCTCCAACCTTCTGCTTCATCATGTTTTAAATTGAATGATCATCTTTTGTTCCATCCTCATACAACGGTTCTTGAATAACGTCAATATCTCCTTTCTGAGAGAAGAAACGAGTGTTTCAAGAAAGTATAATTTTTTTTATTTTCAATAACAATAATTCAGAACCTATCTACCTATCTTAGGGCTGACCTCTAGAGGCTCATTCGCCTTCGCCCAGCCTTGTCAGATACTCTTCAAGAGCTACGATTCGCCCTTCAAGGAGGATTTTAGCACAGTTGAGAGAATATTACATTATTCTCTCAACTGTGATTTTAGGCAATTCTCAAGGCTACTTGAGTAATTTGATCAATTCGATTTCACTGCGGTTGAATGCTGTAATTCAATATCGAGGAGAGCATACTCGTTATTGAGACTACAGGTCTGCTTCTTGTTTGTTTTTTGTTATTAATATTCCGGTAAGTGCTAAAAAAGTAATTAGGTAAAAATATATGGCATTAATCCTTGAAGTTGTTAATCAATAAGTTCATGTAAGTTCTGATTATTGGTGAAAAAAGTTGAAGAACACCATACTTCCTTAAAACCCTCGTATCTTGTTTTAAAAATAAGATATTGATGTGGATCAAAATTTTTTGTGTTGAGAAGGGATCACACTTCAATCAGAAGCATGATGAAGCCATGTTCAATCACGTAATTTTGCCACAGGGCGTTGATAAGTATAGGGTGAAAGAGTAACTTTGGTTTTTCCCTGTATAATGATCAAGTCATCAGCTTTTCAGGAAAATAAATATCCATGCTAACATTCCGGATCATGAATCTACAATTTGGGCAAATTTTTTGGTGGCCGGTTTATTTTGCCGGTGAGTGTATATAAATAGAGCAAACAAAATGAGTACTCTCTTATTACATATCTCCTGATTTTATTTCTTCTATAATTGGCATGTACTTGAGTCAATTAGGTGTAGGAAGATGAAAAATACTATAGAAATGAAAATCAACCACATGATATAGATATGTTTATTAGTTAGGTGATGAACACCGTGTAGATACTTATGATACAAACTATACCTATCAGCCGGAATATATACATTGGAATTACACCAGTGGTGGATCAAGGACGGGGAGCAAGGGGCAAAATAATCAGCGCAATATTGAGATGACTTTATCGAATTTTTCCTAGTCAACGCAACGCATCTGCTGAATAATATCTGAAGGAACCAATCGAAAAATTCAGATAGTATAAATTTGCAACCGACATACAGCGAGACATGAAATTGTTTATTGTTCAAGTCAGAGATTTTCTTAAATAATTTTTATACTGAAAAAAGTTTTATTGATCTCTCAAGAATATCGAAATATTCAAGAAAGTTTTCAAACAAATATGGAAAGAAGTTGATTTACCTACTCATTAATATAATAAGTTTATATAGCTCATGAAACTGTTGCTGTGTCATTACCAGAGAAAATATTACTACTGAAACAGTGACCAAATTCAAAATATTTTCATTAGAACAATATTTTTTGAAATTTTACTTCTAATGGAAATAAAGTATAATAATCTGAATCTGGTAATATGCACCATCTGAAAAAAACATTGAATCCGCCACTAGAATATATATTGGTGAACTACTATCTATACAGTAACCATCTTAAAGCTTCATAATGAATTTATATATTTACACTTTGAACAAATCGTTTCCTAAATTTCGATCACAGAATTTGAAACTGTCCCCACACCTAACTATCATTCTTCGTAATAACTGTCACTGGTTTGAGGAGTCCTTCTGAATGAGAATTACCCTCAGGCGACTCAGAAGAAGCAGGAACTACACTAACACCCCCAGGGCCCATCAATCTCGGAACCGGAAATTGCAAGCTATTCTGGAAAGGCATCCCAATCCTCAAGTTATTGTACAAATCGAGTATGGAATCCGGCCGCCTGAATATAAGCGGATTGGTCAGATGAAATAAGGTCCTAGCACCCAAGCTCATATCGAAACCATAGCTCTGTTCTGGCCTGGGAAAAACACCCATTCCTGCAGGCGCTTGCACCAAATAGGGGTTGAATCTGGCCTGGGGAGCTGCCAGAAGTGATGGCGCAGCTGGATTGAACGGAGGGTAGCAGGACTGCAGGGGGGAATACAAGGATAAAGTCCTTTTGAACGCTGCCAAGCGTGTTCTTGAGTTGGCTGAAGACCTTCTTCTTAGCTTGCCGGTGGTCCCACCGATGAAGACGTCATCTGCGGATGGATCCAGCATCCAGTAGTTGCCTTTTCCTGGATCGTCGTAGTGTCGAGGTACTTTGACGAAGCACTTGTTGAGGCTGAGGTTGTGCCTTATGGAGTTTTGCCAGCCTTGCTTGTTTTCCTTGTAGTACGGGAAGTTTCTCATTATGTATTCGTAGATGCCGTTTAGGGTGAGCCGTTTTTCTGGACTGTTTCTGATTGCCATCATTATTAGGGCGTTGTAGCTGTAGGGCGGTTTTTCTGTAGCTTTCTTATCCCCTGAAAAGAAAATTAGGATATTCAATCTAGTAATTGGATTGAAAACTGACAAAATTATTACTTTAGATTGCTATATATATACTATCTCGTATATAAGCTACATTATTCGATTTGAACAAGGTTCAGACTACTCGCTGTATATTGAATATCATTAAATATTTTCTACATTATTTATGTTGAGTGTTCACAAACTCCTCGGTGAATTTTATGCATTACCAAGATCATTGTTGTAGCGTAGTGTCAAAGAAAATTAGAAGTTTATCCTATATATGTGTACGCTTCTTCATTAATTTGTAATTTCACGATCATTACCGATTTTACAAATGAGTAAAAACCTAGTATTCCTCTCCTCAATCATCTATACCCGTTTTTCACGTAAAATGAAGCATTTTTAAATTCGGTCTAATGATATACAGGGTGTTCCATTTGAAAATCAAGTTAATCATCACTTATGTCTAAAACTAAAGGAGAAAAGGGGGTGTGTTCTGAATTTTTTGACACATTCAGAAAAGGATTTAGCAGCTCATTTTCTACCACTGTGACACAATATACTATTATATATAATACAGTAGTAAAACTTGGTTTATTGGGGAATGCAGCAAAGTGAAAAGAGTACTCTTCGAAGTTTGTCCAAGCTTTCCGAATATTATATTTTCATCATCAGGGAACTAAACATTTTATCATTAGGTAACATTGATTCTGCAAAGGAATTTTACTTATATACATCTTTGGTGAGGTTGTCTTACATGATTGTTATAATAATGATAAAATTGTATAAGACGATAATGACATAGTTGAGAAAACTAACAACCAACAGGAACAAAAACAATTATGTGAATTAGTTAAATTGGAGAATGAAAAAATTGTGAAAATGCAGAATTTAAGCGGCAAGTATACACTAATGTTATAGGTTAAGTCGAGGGTTAAGTAAATCTTTTTCTTTTTCAATCATCACACCTTTTGACTGAATATCAATAGAAAAGTGGAAAAAGGTGTCACAGCCACAATGGAAATTTGCTTCATCGAGTCGAAGCAAGAAAATTGAAGGAGCAGAAGAGATATATTCATCATCTACACATTATTTTGGAATGTGTCAATTAATTATTTCAATTTGTAATAATAAACGAGAAATTATATGAGAGAAAATTTGAGATTTATGTAATTTACCAGGAAAGAGTTGTGGAGAATTGGTTATCAATTTGTGTTGTCTGAAGATGTAAGTGAAATTCCTTTGCAGAATCATTGTTACCTGATGATAAATCGTTGTAGTTCCCTGATGATGGAAATATAATGTTCCGAAAGCTTGCACAAACGTTGAAGAGTAGTCTTTTCACTTTGCTGCATCATTCCTCAATAAACCTATAGTTTTATCTCTAATCAGCAGCGACTACCCTCTCAAATATAAAAGAGTATAATATAGCATTACCATGCACCCTATATTACCGGACCAGATTAACTAATCTTCAATTTCCAAAAGTATGTATTCATGAATATAAATGACACAAAAATATTGAATATGGATGGATATGCGTGTAGAGTTAGGAATAGTTAGAAATGAATTTTCAGTGCTATAGTTGATGACGTTGATTTATTCAATGTAATTAAATTTGTAGAGTTGATCTCGGATCCTCATGACCAGTCGATTTATTTTCATTTTCTTTTGGAGTTTATATTCTTTGTTACGAATCTAAAACTTTTTGTCAGTTGTACGATGAATTGATGTTCATCATACAGGGCGTGGGAAAAAATTCTGAATTGAGAAAACCCAATCACGAATCTGTGATTAGAGGTATGTAAAAACAAATTTCCATCGTTCAAGTTTGAACCTTTTTCTGTCATCTATTGTATGTTAAAATATTGAATCATATCACGGAAAATTGCGAATGATTATGTTGTTGAAAAGCAGAATGAAAAATGAAAATCATCATCAAACAAATAACTATATACCTATAGGAACCCCATACCTATCTGACTAACAAAATAATCAATAGTCACTGAATAAGAAATTATGAAATATTCAGTACCAAGAGAACAAAATTATATTATTAAACAACAACAACAACAAACAAATTCATTTATACCTATAGTTGTCTTCGAATGTTGAAATTTCCGCTTTGATGTCATTTCTATACATAATCAATAATGAATTCGTTCCCAAAAAGTAGGCCAAAACACTCCAAAACTGTGAAGTAGGAGGTATTATCGTTATCGAGCAAATTTGGTCCAATTAGTACCCAGTAGTCGCGGAAAATGTTTTCAACACCCCGTTCCGTGGAAACAAATAAGTTTTCGACATAATGTTTATAGATACTGCTTCAAATTTTTTTGAGACGTCCTTCAACCTCAAGTGCGTCCCACATAAATATCATGAAACATCCTGTATATAGTTAATAGTTATTTATTCATATACCAAGTGCGTTGTATATACTTATAGATCCTTACGCCCGGAGGCCTGAGGTTTGAATTTGGCCCGATGAATGGGCGTTAGGATCTAGTGGTGCATACAAGATTTTATTTTTCACGAAAAAAATATCTTATTATAATGAAAAATCGATTTTAAAATAGGTCATTGCTCCTATACTGAGAGAAAATTTGAGTTATCATAATTGGAAATCTGATAACCGTTATTACGATATCTGCAATAAATAGAGGACAGATGATGTGTTCATTTGCTACCTACCATAGATGAAGTGAATTTTCAGGTGGCTTGTAGTTATGGCATCAGCATATTCAATTTGCAAACTTGTATAAACACTGCTGCTGAATAACTACCACTTGTTCTAGTTTCTATGATAACACAAAGTATCGAATAGAAGTTATTCCTATATAAAACCTGAGATTTCGACATGATATTGATGTAATATAGGTAGCTCATTTTCAACAGTTATCCCAATAATTTTCTATACTCTAGTATATTCATCAAACAGTGGTGCTTAATTAGGTTATCTAATCAACATTGTTCGATGGTATGCATTATGAAACCGTAATTCGAATTACTGCAATGAAAATAAATATCCTATCCACACACTTAGGTACTTTTCATGATCCAAAGTTTTTTTTTTAAACAAAAAGTACTATTAAGTTTCTGAATTGAAATATCTGGGTTTCTTTGGAAGTTTTTTCGACATTACTCATTGATTTTGTCCGAGAAATATCATCTATAGGTATGCATACTGACGCATTTATTGAGATATGAGAACTTAAATACTTATATTAATTTACTCTTCCAACGGAGCTATGCTGAGAATTGTCAATAAAACTTCCCTCACAGAAACCCTGATAAATATTTTAATTCAGGATCTCATCAACCATTTTGTTTTTCGAAAAATAAAACAATTTTAGGCCGTGAAAAGTGGGTATTCACATCTTCACCCACAAGACACAGCTCTATCGATTCGAACGATCGAAACCATTGAACAATAATAATTGAACACGGGCGCCCATGACAGAGAACAGAATTGAAAATGAACGCGATCTGTAGCGTCAGCCCCAAAACTAATGAAAAACTACAGCGAAATGATGCTATAGTTATTGCAATAGTTATTCGTCAACGTACAATGCTAGAAAAGAAACCCAAACAGCTATGATTATTGGGACAAACATTATCTGAATTCTCCAATAAGCATAATTTATAAAACGAGCTATGTCAATAAGAAATCTAAATAGACTCAAATTTATAAAATGTCATAACACACTTAGGTTATGATGGTAGCAAATGTCCATTCAGGGGTATTACAAATGGTTCAAAAAAGCGATTCTATAATAATTACAGAATGGAGAGAATACTCTGAATACTGTTGTGATAATGAAATGATCTGGAATAGAGGATTTCTTTATGATGGTTATTACAATCAGAGCTCTGGCAGTTTCTCTCAGTATACGATTCAAAACGCCCGCTCATAATATGTCATAACGCCCTATAGGGCATGAGTAAGTATAGGTATATTTATAGCAACCGTATCTGAGGTAAAATAAATTGTATACAAGTGAAATATGCTGATGAAAGAACTTTCGTGTACAGAAGCTAGAAACGTTAAATCATTAACAACAATTTATATAATAATTTATCTGTAACTTTTTTTATTGATTTCCACTACCTATTTGGAGAAAGAAGGGATATGCCCTGATGGGAATTGATAATTTACCTTCACCCTGAGATGCAACCTTCTCGGATCTGGTAGAACAATCCAACGGTGGAGTAGTACCGGTCACGTCCAAATCTGACTCGCAGCTACTAGCTTCCTGATCTCCAAACTCCTCTTCCAGACAGCAACTCTCCCCCGTCCCGCGACCAACGTTTCGACCTTCCGCGGCAGCTTCAGGCAGCAAAGATTCGATCGTAAAAGACGACTTGACCGGCGTATGCGCCATGATGCATGATTTCCTGAAGGATCCTTGAGGCACCACCATATTTACATCCTTGCAGATACTTATCACAAATGTTCGGAAATCGGCTTGTGTCACTCTCACACCGTTAACGAAGGTTGTAAAACTAATGATTGACCCGTTAAATTGGTTTACTAGGGTTCTTGCGGATCACCGGTTAACGCCTTAACTCGCGCATCCACCAATGGTGGGTCGTTTTGGGCCAAAGGAGGAGCTACATCGGAGTAGGCGAGGTTTGTGTTGATCCGAGGATTTCACGTACAATCTTGTTTGCGTAAGAGGTGTATTAATAGGTAGGTAAGAGTGACAAAAGAATTGCTATTATGTAAATACACCGCCATTGTTACAAGCTGCATGGTTTCTTTGATGATAGACCATGTGAATGGCGAAGTTGCGTCAGTTCTAATGTCATTGTCATTCATTCAGGATAGGATAATCCAGATAAGTGGTCCGAAAGCTTTTTCGATGAAAGGGTTTTGAAAGTTGATTGGCTCCACTAAAATGTATCATATTGTTCTGCTGAATGAATACCATTTCAAAGACACTATATAGAACCGTCTTATTCAGAAATGAAGATATATGTATATAAGTTCATGATGCGAAACTGAATTTATAATTTTCTCGACACAGATTTATTGTTAAATTCTGTTCGACAATTCCACTAAGTGGTCTAAAATAGTCAGGTGAGTATTTTCACAAAAATATGTCAGGTATTTTTCTTCTCACTATGAAAAAAAACTACAGCCTTTTGAAATTATCCTTTCAGGAAGATCTAAGGATGAAAAATATATATACGATAACTGCTTGAAATGTCACCAAGTGTTATTTTGAGAACTTTGCTCTTTTGTGACACTATAAACATACTGTCAATACACTATCAAATGATCTTTGCCATCATCATCATCTCGAATATGCATGTAGGTACATTAGCTTGCGTTCTCGAAGGTCCTCTTTTGGTGTTTTTTTAAGGATTCCAAAATTCCTAGATCCAACACTACGTCTGAAACCTAAATGATATATATAATTTTCCACTATTATAACGATGAAATTGCCATGCATTCTGTTCTGCCATGTCAACGCAATGACTAGCTAAAAAGTGGAAAATACCATTTCTTTCCTCTGATGTATAAAGACTGATGATGTTCTGGTCAGCCCTGTGTGGCCCTATCTACTCACCCAATATTTTCATTGTAAGTGTTTTATACAATGTGGTTGTTCAATATAAACAGTTTTCTTTCTTTTTGTGTACCTACTTAAATTTTTTCACTTGTGCTAATGGAGAAACAGTCGAACATTAATTGGAAACCATATAGTCACTACATTTTTGGCGTACCATTTTTTACGTATTTTCAGTTCCTCTATAGCAATTTCAACGACGTGTATAAATTGTCAAAAAAAGGTGGAATAGAATATCTGGATGACTATTCTGGATAACATTGGAGAATCGGAGTACCACATTGGCACCTAGGCCTATATATGGTGAAGAAACCTTGATATAGTTCAAACCATTGAATACCTATATCCTAAGCGGGTTCTACCACAACAGAATTTATACCCATACCTAATAGGTTTTCCACGTGTGAACTATTTGGTATACCATGTCGACCAAAATAACGTATGGCAGAAGGTGACAGTCATCTACCTTCCCAAAGTGGGAAAGGTGGGTGACAAAACGCCAAAATCATACCGCCCAATAAGTCTAATGTCGTTCCTGCTCAAAACGCTGGAAAGACTGATAGACAGATACATAAGAGACGAGGTATTACAAAGAAACCCGCTCAACGAACGCCAATATGCGTATCAGCCAGGCAAGTCAACTGACTTAGCACTGGATGATCTGAACAGGCTACTCGCAAAGTCGATAGAGGACAAAGAAATAGCTATAACAACATTCGTAGACATAGAAGGTGCTTTCAATAACGCATCAACAAATTCTATAATTAATGCCCTAGCAAGGAAAGGAGTACCGCTACTCCTGTGCCAGTGGATAAATGTCAATTTGAAAAATAGGGTTATCATATCCACAATTGGCGAGACAACTCTGACAGCTAGAGCAGATAGGGGATGCCCACAGGGAGGAGTATTATCCCCCTACTATGGGCCATTCTAATGGACGAACTGATCAAAAGGCTAACATCCAAAGGGTATTATTGCTTAGGATATGCCGACGACCTGGCGGTTATCGCTAGAGGTAGATTCGCAAGTACGGTCTCGGAGCTCACACAAATCGCTCTAAACATAATTGACAATTGGTGTAAAGAGGAGGAACTCACCGTGAACCCTCATAAAACCACTATAGTGAATTTCACGAAAAAGAGAGTACTGGAAGGATTAAAGTCACCAGTACTCAACGGGGTAGAAATTCCGTTCGCCCTAGAGGCAAAATACTTAGGAGTCATCTTTGACCATAAGTTAACATGGAATCAACACCTACAAAAAATTGTTCAAAAAAGTACAGTAGCCTTCAATCTGTGCAGACGAATGTGCGGGAAAAATTGGGGACTGCAACCAAAAATGACCACATGGCTCTATGCCAGCGTCATCAGGCCTATGATATATGGGTCAGTAGTTTGGTGGCCAAAGACACAACAGGCTGGAGTGATTCGAAGGCTCAGTGCTATTCAAAGGCAAGCTTGCCTGAGTGCCACTGGTGCAATGAAAACCACTCCAACAGCCGCTTTAGAGGTCCTCTTGAACCTACCACCACTACAAATATATATTCAAGGCGAAGCCAGAGCAGTCGTGAGTAGATTGTCAAGGGGTCAAGCACCCATAAGCAACGCGCACGGTAAAGACTATAGAAAGCTATATGAAGAGTTGGAAAGCGACCCCATCATGGGAATGCCAACGGATGGCATAATTCCAAAATATAGCTTTGAAAAAACTTTTAAAATAAGTATAACGGACAGAGAGGCATGGAAGGAAGGACCTCCTATCAATGCAGACATTGCTGTCTATACGGACGGCTCGAAAACTGAGTTTGGATCAGGAGCTGGTATTTATGGGGCCAAGCCAAAGACAAGAATCTCACTGAGCTTAGGTAAATACGCGACGGTGTTTCAGGCAGAAATTATTGCAATACATCATTGCGTGAAAGAATTGATAAGGCAAGAGTTTGAAGGCAAAACCATTGCAATCTATTCAGATAGCCAGGCGGCAATCAAAGCAGTCAACTCTATGCAAGTTAACTCAAAACTAGTATGGGACTGCTTAGAAACCCTAAATGCACTGGGCAGTCAGAACAGACTGACTCTAGCATGGGTACCAGCACATACAGGGTACGAGGGCAATGAAGAGGCCGACTCACTTGCCCGAGCAGGAGCAAACAAAGCTCTGAATAGCCCAGAACCCTTCTGTGGTATTGCGAAAGCTATACAAAAGACTAGTATCAAATCATGGATGCAAACCAAATCTCAAGAATGGTGGAACAAATCGCCAGGAATGAGACAGGCAAAAGAGTTTATTAAAAAACCATCGCCAACATTCACAGAATATCTACTAAGCCAGAACCGAAGTTCAACTAGAATACTAGTGGGACTTCTCACAGGGCATTGTAGGCTCAACAAACACATGAGTACGATAGGTCTGACTGAAGAACTGCTGTGCAGGTTCTGTCAGGAAGAGGAGGAAACAGCAGTACACATACTTTGCCACTGTGAGGGCTTGTCAAGACTAAGGTTCCTTACGCTGGGTGAGGAAAAACCAGAAGCCCAGAGATACACAGGGGATCTGAAATCTAGCCTATGGAGTCTCATAGAGAAGACGGGGCTAGCCGAAGAACTCTAATCGATTTTGAGGGCAGACACAATAGATCTGAAAAGGTCGCGGTGTGGAGGCAGATAGCCCGAAGGCCCCATATTAAATCTAATCTAATCTAAAATAACGTATGGTCCGAAAGTTTTGGGAAAAAATTCACCTGGTTTGATTGAGTGACAAAATGCATTTGATCAAGCAGGCGTGGTAATTAAATGTCACCCGTCTTGTCATCTGAATAAGCGATGCAAAAGTTTTTGGTTTGCGCTTACCATGTCTTATAAAATTGATCATCGAAGAGGGATTTATAATCTCGTTGGGCGAATGACGAAACGATCGACAATATATCGTACAATTAAAGATTGTGAAGAAGGGATATCATGTATGAACTTGCCAAAAAACGGTCGGCCGCGGGTTTTGAACCAATTAAGAGAGCGGAGACTTAGCTAAACACAGAATTGATGGGATCTCACAGCAAAAACTGGCCAGAAGATTTCATGTTGAAAAGACTACGGTGTTTAAGACCCTTTCAAGACACAATGTTTTGTAACGGAAAAGGAGAAAAGCTCCAAAATACACAGAGGCTCAGTTAGAAAGAATTCCAAGATGTTGCCGCGCGTTGAGGCGAGTGCATTTTGCCAACAAGTTGATCGTGATGGACGACGAAAAATATTCCCCTTTGGCCAACTCTGAGATGAAGGGCAATGATGGTTTCTACATGGACGATCAGGCAAATGTTCCTGACGATGTGAGATTCAAAAGCAAAAAGAAGTTTGAGGACAAAATTTTGGTATGGTGTGCCATTTCTGAGGCTGGTTTCATTTCACAGCCCTACATTGGCGTTGTTCGTGGTGAGGCCTTAAAGTGATATATTGACATATGTCTTTCTAAATTGCCTCAGTTTTTGAATAAGTACAAATCATGCGAATGACGAAATTATGTTTTGGCCAGATCTTGCTTCATGCCATTATGCGAGAATCACGAAGGATTGGTATGGGGCCAACAACATCAACTTTGTACCAAAAGTGGACAATCCCCCCAACCTCTACCTCAGGCACGCCCAATTGAAGACTCCTGGGCAATATTGAGCCGGAAGGTCTACAATAACGGATGGAAAGCACAAAGTCAAGAACAACTCCGACGTCGTATATCGGGAAAAATCAGAGAAATCAACGCTGGGGTCGTCCAAAGGATGATGCAACGCGTCAGAGGAAAACTCAGGCAGATCGATGACAATGGTCCCTTGTCGATTATTTGAACTTGTTACTTATTGTTAGATTATTTGTAAAGATTATAAAAATTTATTTCAAAGAGTTGTCAGCATCTGATTTTTTTCC